GGGGGTCTACTACCAAACTGTTATAGATGCTATCTTCCTCTCAACTAATGGTTTACAGGTAATGATATGTGTTATGTTCCTGTCCCGGAATAAGGATTTAACGGGGTGGGGGTGGATAAACATCACAATATATATCTGATATTTTTTATTTTAACTTTCATTCACAAATATAATTCTTTTAAAAAGCCTTCTTTTCCTGGTTTCAAAATTATACCAATAACATCATATTCTGGAAAAGGAATTCAAGATACTTTTACCTCCTAATAAATTGGAATCACTTGAAAATATTAAAGGTATCTGTATGAAAAACATTATTTTCCTCTACCAATTCTGTCAGGCCTACCAATGCCTTCCAATTCTGTCAGGCCTACCACTGCCTTCCAATTCTGTCAGGCCTACCAATGCCTTCCAATTGTGTCAGGCCTACCAATGCCTTCCAATTGTGTCAGGGCTACCAATGCCTACCAATTGTGTCAGGCCTACCAATGCCTACCAATTGTGTCAGGTCTACTAATGCCTACCAATGCCTACCAATTGTATCAGGCCTACCAATGCCTACCAATTCTGTCAGGACTACCAATGCCTACCAATGCCTACCAATTCTGTCAGGCCTACCAAGGCCTACCAATGCCTACCAATTCTGTCAGGCCTACCAATGCCTTCCAATTGTGTCAGGCCTACCAATGCCTTCCAATTCTGTCAGGCCTACCACTGCCTTCCAATTCTGTCAGGCCTACCAATGCCTACCAATTGTGTCAGGCCTACCAATGCCTACCAATTGTGTCAGGCCTACTAATGCCTACCAATGCCTACCAATTGTATCAGGCCTACCAATGCCTACCAATTCTGTCAGGCCTACCAATGCCTACCAATTCTGTCAGGCATACCGTTTAGACAGAGAGGAATTGCTAGTTGACTGGTGAGTTTGTGTGTCGGAATCAGGTGTGTGCACAGACAGACAGAAGGGAGCTCTGTAGAGCATCTGTCAGTAACTCACCGTTCCTACTTAATACAAAATCTAAATGAAGGCACAAATCCCCTCTGTTATCTATACACCATTAAACCCCACCATTAAACAAATCGCCCCAGCTCCTAACATACAGAACAGATCCGTACTCCACACAAAATTCTGGCAGGTATGTTTGTCCAATTCAATACCATTACAGACGTGATTCTGTCAATAGTTGGTACCAATCCCTGAGTTAACTCCCCTGCCTCGCAGCGCCACTCGAGACATATGCAGTACACCATAACTCAACACTACCCTATTATTTAAATCCAGGCTTTCTTTCTGCCAAAGTTCCTTCCAGCTTTAGTTCAAGCTATTACTGTTTTGCCATCATTATTCAAATAATTTTTCTTTCTCAGCATGGCGAATTCCTGATTCTTTACTGTTTCTGTCCGATCACGCCTGAAGGACTAGGCAGCAGCCCTGCATTGTTAGCCATCCACAACAAAACGGAGTACGCTTGTTGCTTGGAAATCACTTATTTTTTTAATTTAGTGAAAAAAAATATTATACACATTTTCAGTTATTTAAGTTAGAAAACAGGACAATGATTAAAAAAACTTTTGTTTTATGAAAATTTTAAAAACAACTTTTCAATTTGAGGAATAAAAAGTTGACAATGCTTTGAGAATGCTGTCTCAGGAATGTTTTCGATTCCAGAGTGCCAGTCGTGCACTTCCTGACTTAAAACCCTAATCAAGACAAATAAGTATGTCGAAGCTGTATTCCAAAAACTACTGTGTCTTCCCTTCCCAAGTAAAATTTAGGATTTACCTTTCAAAAATCTGAAAAAACATATAATAACCTGCTTAAAATAAAAACGCAGGAGAAATGAGAATTTTAATTGGTGAAATTCTCCACAATTTTTTCAAAAATATCTGGCAACCATCACCCTAACAGCTGATACTGGGAAGTGCAGGTAACCTTTCTGTAAATTAAGCTCATTTATACATGACATATAACTATCTTTATACCTGACATATAACTATCTTTATACATGACATCTAACTATCTTTATACATGACATCTAACTATCTTTATACATGACATATAACTATCTTTATACATGACATATAACTATCTTTATACATGACATATAACTATCTTTAATAAGATTCATCAGTTTGGAATTATGTCATATCAAAGTTTTGCTTTTTACACAAAAAATGTTTATTATGTACATTGTTTGTGTAAAAAGGAAAACTGTAATATGACAGATAAGTGTTTAAAGAGACAGAGAATTTGAAGAAAACGTTGGCTCAGGTAATTTGACTCAAAGGGATTGAATTGAAAGAAATGTTGACTCTTAGAACCTGTTGAAAGAGACAACAGGACTATTGGACTTGAACACTCTGATACCCAATCAGTGTTGAAGTCGAGGGATGACAGGATTGGATTCTTGATATCAAAGTATTTCTGTGCTACAGAATGCAAGGCTCTATAAAAAGGTATTTATACATAAATGGTGACCTTGACCTTTGAACCTTAAAAGCAACCCCAAGCCAGCTGTGTCATGGAGTAAAATGTTACTGTGTAAGGAATGGAATTGGGATGTACAGACAGGCAACTATGGTAACAATATCTATCCGATATATTCAGGGGTGAATACAAGTTTTATCTCTTGTTCTGATGCAAAAGGAAGCAAGAATTATTCTAAAGGGACAAAACATTTACAGCGATAAATCTGCATTCAAATTTCCTATGTCAAAGTTCAAATCACATATAAATTTCCCGTGTCAGAGATCAAATCACCCTTAAAACAGCATGTCAAAGTTCATGTAGCATTTTAATGAGCTGTGTCAGTTTCATCAAATGTAAAAACATAGATGCTGCAAAAGTCAAGTTTTTGTGTCAAAAGTTGGTAGAGAAGTTGACCAGCACCAGACACCATGCATTAGTCCACAGCCGGACACACTGATGTCGCTATACTAACCCCTATATTTGTAGTTGGTAGAGAAGTTGACCAGCACCAGACACAGTTAGTCCACAGCCAGACACACTGATGTCACTATACTAACCCCTATATTTGTAGTTGGTAGAGAAGTTGACCAGCACCAGACACAGTTAGTCCACAGCCAGACACACTGATGTCGCTATACTAACCCCTATATTTGTAGTTGGTAGAGAAGTTGACCAGCACCAGACACAGTTAGTCCACAGCCAGACACACTGATGTCGCTATACTAACCCCTATATTTGTAGTTGGTAGAGAAGTTGACCAGCACCAGACACAGTTAGTCCACAGCCAGACACACTGATGTCGCTATACTAACCCCTATATTTGTAGTTGGTAGAGAAGTTGACCAGCACCAGACACAGTTAGTCCACAGCCAGACACACTGATGTCGCTATACTAACCCCTATATTTGTAGTTGGTAGAGAAGTTGACCAGCACCAGACACAGTTAGTCCACAGCCAGACACACTGATGTCGCTATACTAACCCCTATATTTGTAGTTGGTAGAGAAGTTGACCAGCACCAGACACAGTTAGTCCACAGCCAGACACACTGATGTCGCTATACTAACCCCTATATTTGTAGTTGGTAGAGAAGTTGACCAGCACCAGACACAGTTAGTCCACAGCCAGACACACTGATGTCGCTATACTAACCCCTATATTTGTAGTTGGTAGAGAAGTTGACCAGCACCAGACACAGTTAGTCCACAGCCAGACACACTGATGTCGCTATACTAACCCCTATATTTGTAGTTGGTAGAGAAGTTGACCAGCACCAGACACAGTTAGTCCACAGCCAGACACACTGATGTCGCTATACTAACCCCTATATTTGTAGTTGGTAGAGAAGTTGACCAGCACCAGACACCATTAGTCCACAGCCGGACACACTGATGTCACTATACTAACCCCTATATTTGTAGCTGGGGTCTAACAATTTTGTTTTGACATAATCCCTGTTCAGAGAGATGGGTGGTAGAGTAGTTTCTAAGAACCTGTGCAAAAGGAACGATATCTGAATTTATCTCAGAATGTACTGTGTTATCCAGTGAATATACTCATGTCATACTTTTTTGCGTATTAACCCATGACATATGACCTATCAGCCCTGTGATTGGTTGTAAGTTTCAATTGTTTCAATTGTGACGTCAGGTTTAGGACAAGTACATGACGTCACAGACTTACGCACTGGAGTCAAACTGGTGGCTTTTCACATTTCAAGGTTGCATGAAAATTGTCATTTTACACGAATAAATGCCACAAATCTTCATTATGTGATAAAAAGGATCCTACACTCGTTTTCATTTCATATGAAATTTAAGAAACTCGTAACAATTTTTTCATTTCACTGGAGGCTTGCTAAATTGATAAACTCTTAGACTCATTTCATAAATGTCATATGAAATGGAAACTCATGTAAGATCCTATTTATCTATATTACAACTGAATCTAATAACTCTGATTACTCACTCAACTGTGGGTCACTTTCGCGAACAGGGCGGTGACGATTCTGTACACACTGCATGATGGCCTGGTTGACACCATGGCACTGTCGCCGGATAATTTGTCGCTGTTTCTGTCTGCCTAAACCAGACACCATATGTGTTCCCTTACATATAAGATGACAGTTGTAGCTATTGGCTGGTCGGCAGCAATGCTCCGCATCTAATAAGAAAATAACAGGTTTTTAACGAAGAGCATAATAATACAAATCTGAATCCAAGTTCATCAAAGTATGATGTTGATCTTTATGCGATACTATTATTTGAGGGTTATCAGGCATTTTTGGGTATATTAATCAAGGTTTATTATTTTGAATCCCAGGACTTTTTCTTTTTGGTTTGAATAATTCAGAAAATATCCCTATTTCTCATTTTCATCTAACTGGGTCATTAATAAAAGCCGAGTTTTACCATAGTTATAAGCATCATCAACACACTTTCAGTGATCCATCTTATTTAGTCTGGTTTTTATGAAGATTGTTTAAGGTGTGACATTCACTTTACCAGGTTTAATTTGCTGAACGACTCCATGCATAAATTGGGTTCTGAATTGATATACCCATCAGCAATAACTAGACCGTATCCTGTATTCAAAACATACCCCTCATCTCTGAGTATTTAACAAATTTGATTGTTTTCGCCGATATAAAATCAGGGGACATAACTCTAACTTTACTTACCGCCATGTTTTTCTATACACTTATATAACTTCGTTTCCGTGCTCTGGCTACAGTTCCTCACTAATTCTCTTACACTCGTGGCCTGAAACAAAATAAAAACTGCCAGTTTACAATCTCAAAAGACATTCAATGGTCTAGATTTATTTTATTATCTGTTTGTTCAGGCCAGAATATAATCAACAAGGCAAAGTATTTCAAGGCAGTTCATAGTTCCCCATCGGTTATTGTTTCTTTATTTGTGCACATACCTCAGAATATAGTTCACAGTGACCTACTTTATGTTCAAGATATTCTGCCATCCCAAGATGTACATGCAAACCAAATCTTGTTACTTCAGGTGAAATTTTATAGAAGATTTGCTCCTGACAAACTTTTAGGACGGACAGAGTGCAAACCTATATTCTCCATTCATCCAGGAACCATAACTCATAAATGTACAGGGACACAAGGATAGAAGTCACCAGCTCTGTCCCAGTATCTGATCACAAGGGGTGACAAACATGGGAACCCCCTCCCCCCCCCCTCCCNACCAAGGGGACACCAAGGCAACCCAAAGGAATCGGTTGCCCTACCACAACACTAATCATTTTATTTTGTATTTCCCTATTCTTAACCTTTCAGTGGTGTCTCCCAAGGCTTTTCAGGTTAGCCTGTTGTCAGGACAATGTGAATCCATATGGTTTAAAATTTGTTTTCATTTCCAAGCTGTGTTAATTCAGTGAGATTGGACTTTAAAACAGATCTTCACTAACACCAGTCTGTGGGCTCCATCAATAGACAGCCTTAATTTAACCCTGACAAAGACAGTGAGTCTGTGAGCTAATGTTGATGGTGTAGTGTTTGTTGTCTGTCCAGTTAAATTTTTTCTTTTTCTTCTAACAACTTCTGGATAAGCAACAGGACTTGGATACTGATATTTGCCCAGCTTTGTCACAAGACTGCATATGTAGCCTCTTTCATTATTCATTATCATGTTATGGTGTTTTGTTTTGCAGTCCTCTATAAAACTGGATGACAGAACTTTATCCTCAGGTTCTGTATCTGCACAGCATATTAATCTACTCACTAGGACCGTCTCAATCCTTTCTCAGTTCCCATGTCTTGATGGGCTGTCGCTGAAGCTTCAACGTTCACCCAAGCACTAATCCCCCTCATTGTCGGGAGTCATTATTCAATTCCATTGCTTATAACAACAGTGTTTTCAATTTCTTAAAAAACTTATCAACCAATACAACCCTACATTACTGCTGCTTCTCCCGAACAGTATCTCAGCTGAAGCATACTTAACTATTAAAGTGGGGCTCTAATCTGTGTATCCTCAATCAGGAAGAAATGCTGTTTCGCCGAGCAATCTAATGGCCTGCCAAACAGTCTTTCCACTACGGAGTACCACAGAGGGAGGCCAAGTTCCGTTAGTGCAAATCTTTAAAACGCCATAATAACGGCAATACTCTATTGCGTTTTTGTGATTTGGTAAGACTTGTTTATATTAAGAAGGGCTGCATGGACAGACATTGGAAACCATCATACAAAATTTCAATTCATATTTTTATACATAATATTTTTCGTTATTCCTATTACACTACATTTTGATATAGAACTCACTGTCGACATGTACTTTAATACAAACCCATAATGCCAGCGCCGTATTGCTGTCAGAAAATTATTCAGTAAGACTTTTTATCATGTATTATGAGCTGACGACATTGGAAAGATACCCAGTTTCATTAACATTTTTATTTAATTATTTCAGGTTTTTGCTAAACTTAACATAATTCCTTGTAAAATATTTTTGTACTTCAGTGAAAGATTAAAACATGGTGCTGATAGTCCGGGAATATTATCTTGTCAAGACTTCTTAGTAAACAAGCAGCTCCCAGAGCGCCGATAGTCTGGGAATATTATCTTGTCAAGACTTCTTCGTAAACAAGCAGCTTCCAGAGTGCCTTTATCACAATAATCTAGAAATTAATGTAATCAAGACAAAATATTCTAACTAAAAGTAAAATTACAGATGATTTCATTGGTGAGGCTGGACCCCTACATCAATCCTGGTAGCATATGTGTATTGAACATTTCATGCTCAGTAATTATGTATATCGTTGTAGGGTGGGGATCTCAACAGTTTCCATGTTATAAGCAAGCTTCGAAGCAGGGCCTCATTCTTACAGCATGTTTGTGCTCATCTCTGCATGTCCAGCATTGTATATATGGTTATGGGATGGGGATCTCCACCATTTCTGTTATGACCCAAGGACTGAGTTCCCAGGGGTGGGGCGGACCCATGGTCAATTCTGTAGCATATCTGTATTAGTCTTTTCGTTCCCAAGAAAGGTGTTTTTATCATGTCAGGTGTCCTTCTCCTTCCTCTGTGTTTCTTTCCTGCCAGTGTGTTAATGTTCTAGGGTGTCTGTTCTGTTACTGTACTCCAACAATGATTTGTAATTCTTTCCCCATGGCCGTTCATTAACATTTCTCCTTCATGTTCTTTCCACTGTGCGTGTCCCCTCAGAAACACCCCTCCTCCCCATCTTTCCCAGTGAACGCTTCCCTCCTGATCCATATCTACAGGGACTGGGTTAGGCCTACATGACAAGGTGGACACAAGAGGAAACAATATGTTCCTCGACTTTTGTAAAAACATGTGGGACAATAACTCAACAGTATACTACGTGCTAACAGACGTATGACTTAGATACATTTGAAGGGTCAAAGTTCACCCCAGAAAGTCACAAAATTAATGGGAAGTGTCTACGGATTGAAGTAGGCTGTAGTATGATGGTCGAGGGCTGTCACTCACATCCCTGGGATGCCAGATACATACTGGAGCTCCACTGGCTTCCACACACGCTAACACTCATTTTACATACAGATAGTATCTTGTATAAACACCAAAAAACTGGTATTCAAAATATCAAGGCAAAAACACATAAATCTACCAAGAAAGTATATATCTGAAATTTGCAGTGGCCATTTCTTAAGTTTAGGTAACTGAACGAAACCCTGTTTGACAGACTCCTTGGACATATATACATAGCAGAATAGCAACGAAAAATGCACAGAAACACAACATCTGCAGCAGCACAAGCAAACACAGAATAGCATCTGATGGGTTCTGTCAAACAGTGTTAGCATCACATGAGCCAGGAAGGGGGCGAACAGTGGCTAAAACCTATCACAATGTCACAGCAATCAATCTCACCCAAGTGAGGATGGGTTTTATGGGAAAAAAGTGCCAATGTCTGCAAAAACTCCAACCCTGTACTGTCGGAACTACTTTGCCCCAAAGAGTTCCAGAGATATTTTCAGCTGGCATTTGATGTCTATATGTCTATATGTTCTGTAACAATACTACACCCTGTGTCAGACCTATAGGTCTATATGTTCTGTAACAGTACTACACCCTGTGTCAGACCTATAGGTCTATATGTTCTGTAACAATACTACACCCTGTGTCAGACCTATAGGTCTATATGTTCTGTAACAATACTATATATATATGGTTTAGTGTTTAAACATATAATTAAGCTGAATTTTTAAGTATGTTTTTATATTCTAACTACATCTTTAAGCTTATCTTTCTATCTATACTTTCTTAAATTTAGAAATGGTGTTTTCGGTGCTTTTTAAACGACCTAAATCGACACCTGTAAAATTACAACAAACATTGACATGGTCCCATATTCAGGTAAACATAGCAACTTTGTACCTGTACCTGGACCGTAGTTTTCCTTACCAGGGCACTTACGTAACTCGCCGAGGTGTGAAAATCCAGGTGAAGGGGAGCTATAGACCACACCAAATCCAACTAACAAATACTAAACATCCAGTTGTGTTTTCATAACGGTCATAAAGTATGTGTATCATATATTAGCTCTCTGTGTTAGGCACAGGCCAGGTAAAACTCATTTATTTACCAAAATGTTATTTACCTATTCTATTACCTGGGAGATAAACCCAGTCTTGCCAGTCTTACGGTCCCGTAATACTGCGTAAAACTGTACATAATCTTAATTGCTGTGATGAGAAATTAATATTTACATGGTACATTATTGCATACAAGCTTTCAATCGTAATATTGTTTCAATCGTAATATTGATCAACAAACTGTACCAAATCGCACAGTTGTGCGGAGAGAAGCGCACAACGAGGCGAACAATAGTTAAATCGCACAATTGTGCGCTCCATGTGCAGACGATGTGGGCACGATGTCCACATGCTGTTTTTGGTGCGTTGTGCGGTCAACTGTACACCCCATGTCAGACTAATGTAAGAATCCCTGTCCCCCTTCACTGTAGTGTTTCATATATTCAGTTACCTCACCTTCATTTTGTTATGGCTATAACTGTAGTTGGTCCAGGACACTTTCCTTTAACCAGCTCAGTATGTTAGACCAACAGAATAACAATCTGGTTTTTTTTATCATAAATTAACACTACATCTATTGATATCACACTGGGTTATATTAACCTCATTGTAAGTGACTAGCATAGTTTTGCCCTTTCGAATTAGTGCGAAAGTGCTTAAACATAACTATACCACTAATATCTAAATGACTTCAGTATATCAAACTGTTTAATGCAATGACAATTGCAGCACTTTACTCCAGTGCTTTATAAAACACAACAGACAAAGCTGAGAGTTATATCCTAGTCTTACAAAAACATTGTAAACCAGAATTCCATGGGACTGGAGGTGTCTCCTGCTCAGCGCTTTTAATAAGAACAGTGTTTTGGGTTCAGTTATCGTGTTAACAGATATGCCAAAGCACGGAAAGTTGAAATTTGACAGAAAAAACTGTAATATATGTGGAACATTATTGCTTCTAGCATAACCGTACAGAATTTGAAAGAAATTGATTAAAAAATAAAAAAGTTCTTGCATTTACTACACAATGCCCTTATTTGGCAATAAAAGGGGCATAACTCTGCCAAATATACACGTAAACTTCTGAAATGCGAACTTGTCCAAGCTGTATTACTATGCAATATGTGTACCAAGTTTGAGTTCAATCAACCCCAAGGGAACTAAAGTTATCGCACGGAAGCCTTGTTTTGGACGACACAACCAAACGTCTGTCACGCCGACACCGATAAAGTAATACCTATATGTCGCCTTGCGTTGCAGGCGACACAAAAATAGACAAATTAAGTCTGTTGGCTAAAAAAGTTTTCAAATGGCACGTACTTTAAACAAACTGAAGCATGCGCTGTATATATATATATATATATATCACTTGGTGTAAGATTTCATATAAAAAGAGTGTGAAGGTTTCACTTCATATCACATCATCTAGAAAATAAATGTGTGATGAACAAGCACAGCTAGCTAAACATGGAACTTTTAGCGCTGATATTGGAATGAGAAATGTACCTTGAACTGAACCCTCCCATTCCAACGGGACAATCACATGTATTAAATACGTCATCACTGCGAAACATCTGATCTGGCACTATACACCTATAGAACCCAGGGCTTGAAATGGTACCTATAGCTGAACCTCGAAGTCCTCGTATTGAGTTAGAAATGGCTTAGATAGTGTTATCGAGACCACCCAGATATTTGGTAGTGCAGTACATTCCTGTCCTAGCTCGGTTATATCCTGCAGCAGTCCAAAAGATTGCCATCTCGGAATAACACAAGCACTTGATAAAGAACACATTTGGTAGGAGTCGAATCCTCGGGGGAGTTTGACATATCCTGCAGTAAACAGTGGGGTACGAGACTTCTACGCAATTTAAAAACACTCAAGTGCCAAACTTGTAATTGTGTGGTGTAACATAACAAAACTGGAAGTTTTAATTTATATGATGTTTATTATAATGTTAAAATCCGAGATATTTTTTATAGATGACAATTTTTTTATGTTCTGATAACAGGAAAATGAAATACAGAATGTGTTTTAATTTCTGATCTTTTTCCCGATGTGACACTTTGTAAAACAGGAAACAGTTGCTTTTCTTAAACATTTTTGCCTATCTCCTATCCAGATAAGGGAAAGTTTAGGTTATTTACAGTAAGGGAAATCTCCAACTGGAGGATAAAATCTGCTGCATATGATATCGTTGAAAAGATACAAATGTGTGAAATGTTTATGAGGGCAAATTCAATATAGAGATCATTTGTTTTCTTTTAAGATCCAAGGGTAAGAGACTATTGCTTTGGTTTGTCTGTGCTTTACATCCTATTAACAGCTATGGTCATTTAATGACGCGCCAGGTTTTGGTGGTGGAGGAAAGCCAGAGTTCCCAGGGAAAAAACACCGACCTACAGTCAGTACCTGGTAACTGCCCCATGTAGATCTCGAACCCCTGACCAAGTGGTGTAGGGCTAAGTGCTGGCAGAATGTCAGACGCTATAACCACTCGACCACCGCGGCCTCTTCATACTTCTTTTGTGAACACTGCACAGAGTTTAACATAAGGGCTAAATAAGGGGATTCCAAATTATACGGAAATGAAGAAATCTTCCTTTGTTTTGTCGAAGATATCAACTTAGCAGTTTTTATAGGAATGGACACTCCTCCCGTATCTGTACTTGTGTGTGATTTATAACATCGGACTAACATTTTCTCTTTTGTGAGGACAAGTTTAAGCTGTGAGCCATAGCACCCGATGATGTCACGGAGAGCATGAATTTTTACGCAGACAAATAGCATGCAGAGAGCACACATGGGTGTATACACCCTACAATCTGTGATAGACTGATCTAAGTGGGACATCATAACTATATTATCCCTGAAGGGCAAATCGTATACAATATAATTGCAGTCTTTTACTGAGGTCAACGTTAAGTTTCAGTAACCTGAAAAATCTGTTTTAATTGATTAACCTACCTGGTAGCAGGCTTCCTGGCAGTACCTGTTGACAGCCTTCTCGCAGCATGGCTGAGCCGACCATACCATCATTGACTGCACCACTGCAAGAGAAAAACGATTAGAATAAAGACTTATTCTCGCTCTATGACTAATTTAAAAAAAATGTTGAGCCAAGTTGAAACTTGCATGTGCTCGCAGTAATTAGGAGTGACCTCAAAAACCAGTTATTAGACTTATGCAGATTTTTTTTTTAAATTGTAAGTATATTTTGACTCTTTCCAATATGAATTTCACATAAAAACAAATGTGCAAGTTTTTTTTCGTATGACGGTAAAATATTATTAACCACCCAGGCCTGAATGCATTAACAGTGACCTCTACCACAAAACTGTGTTATTCTTTCAAGGTGTAACTTTCTCAGAAGAAAGATGCATGTGAAACAAAGGTAGCATGCACCTGTAAATAGGTCAGCAGTGACCTATTTATCACGGAACTTTGTCATTGTGGCAAATAGTTGAGAAAAGATTAGATTTCAGCCCGACCTGTCGCCCAGATCTATAAGCGTACATTACAAGATTTCCTGATTTCAGGTGTCAAGTAACGGTAGACTAGACTGACAGCGAAGGTGTTAAAACCACTGATGAGCAATGGAGGGGACGATCAATCATTTAACACGCCCACCACTGTACACGATAATGGGCTCATCCATATCAATGCGTGGTAGAGTCTACTAAAGTTACATAGGGGTGAAAGGGTTAACACTCGCAGGAAAACAACTAGTCTTTACAAAAATCCCTTCATCTTCATTACCTGCTCTAGTAAGCTTAAAATTCATGTCTTTACTTAATTCAATTACAGAAATATTTTTTTTCCTTTTTTTTGTTCTTTTCTCTGCCTATACCATATATCATGAATGTAATTAAGTTAAACCAGAGAAATTGGCCTTCACTGATCCAGATGTCCACTAGCCAGAAAGTGTTGTAGGGGACAGATTTCTAGTTCTCTATGGAAGTCTAGCCTTTTAACATTGCTTCCACTTCAGCCTGCTTTAGACAAACTTCAGGTTCAACTTAATTATGAGCATGATATATAAGGCTTGAGGAGACAAAGGTGAGTTGGTATAATGAGACTTAATAAATAATAGAATGGGAGAACAATCTTCAGTTGTTTAACTCATTCATCCCTGAAGACACATTTGAACTCTTCCGATTCAAAGGTTGGAATAGTTCAATATGAAATTTCAGGGGTGAATGAGTTAAACAAAATAGACAGACAAGTTCAATAGTGACAGCCAAATTGTATACAGTAGAAGAATGTAATTAACAGATTTTCAAATTTACCATTATAAAGTTAAACATACCGATAGATTGTATACATAGGAAATTATGATCCAATTTGTACAGGTTTTCTGATTATACAAGTTAACATAGAAATGAATACAGTAGAACATTACAGCTGAAAGCCTTACACATATACAAATAGAATGTCAACATCCTACCTGTCATCATTCTAATGTCAACATCCTACCTGTTATCATTCTAATGTCAACATCCTACCTGTCATCATTCTAATGTCAACATCCTATCTGTCACCATTCTAATGTCAACATCCTACCTGTTATCATTCTTATGTCGAAATCCTACCTGTAACCATTCTGTCATCATTCTACCTGTTATCATTCTTATGTCAAAATCCTACCTGTAACCATTCTGTCATCATTCTGCCTGTTATCATTCAAATGTCAACATCCCACCTGTAACCATTCTGTCATCATTCTACCTGTTATCATTCAAATGTAAACGTCCTACCTGTAACCATTATGTCATCATTCTACCTGTTATCATTCAAATGTAAACATCCTACCTGTAACCATTCTGTCATCATTCTACCTGTTATCATTCAAATGTCAACATCCCACCTGTAACCATTCTGTCATCATTCTACCTGTTATCATTCAAATGTAAACGTCCTACCTGTAACCATTATGTCATCATTCTACCTGTTATCATTCAAATGTAAACATCCTACCTGTAACCATTATGTCATCATTCTACCTGTTATCATTCAAATGTAAACATCCTCCCTGTAACCATTATGTCATCATTCTACCTGTTATCATTCAAATGTAAACGTCCTACCTGTAACCATTATGTCATCATTCTACCTGTTATCATTCAAATGTAAACGTCCTACCTGTAACCATTATGTCATCATTCTACCTGTTATCATTCAAATGTAAACGTCCTACCTGTAACCATTATGTCATCATTCTACCTGTTATCATTCAAATGTAAACGTCCTACCTGTAACCATTATGTCATCATTCTACCTGTTATCATTCAAATGTAAACGTCCTACCTGTAACCATTATGTCATCATTCTACCTGTTATCATTCAAATGTAAACGTCCTACCTGTAACCATTATGTCATCATTCTACCTGTTATCATTCAAATGTAAACGTCCTACCTGTAACCATTATGTCATCATTCTACCTGTTATCATTCAAATGTAAACATCCTCCCTGTAACCATTATGTCATCATTCTACCTGTTATCATTCAAATGTAAACGTCCTACCTGTAACCATTATGTCATCATTCTACCTGTTATCATTCAAATGTAAACGTCCTACCTGTAACCATTATGTCATCATTCTACCTGTTATCATTCAAATGTAAACGTCCTACCTGTAACCATTATGTCATCATTCTACCTGTTATCATTCAAATGTAAACGTCCTACCTGTAACCATTATGTCATCATTCTACCTGTTATCATTCAAATGTAAACGTCCTACCTGTAACCATTATGTCATCATTCTACCTGTTATCATTCAAATGTAAACGTCCTACCTGTAACCATTATGTCATCATTCTACCTGTTATCATTCAAATGTAAACATCCTCCCTGTAACCATTATGTCATCATTCTACCTGTTATCATTCAAATGTAAACATCCTCCCTGTAACCATTATGTCATCATTCTACCTGTTATCATTCAAATGTAAACGTCCTACCTGTAACCATTATGTCATCATTCTACCTGTTATCATTCAAATGTAAACATCCTCCCTGTAACCATTATGTCATCATTCTACCTGTTATCATTCAAATGTAAACATCCTACCTGTAACCATTCTGTCATCATTCTACCTGTTATCATTCAAATGTAAACATCCTCCCTGTAACCATTATGTCATCATTCTACCTGTTATCATTCAAATGTAAACATCCTACCTGTAACCATTCTGTCATCATTCTACCTGTTATCATTCTTATGTCAAAATCCTACTTGTAATAATTCTGATGTCAACATCCTACCTGTCAACATCCTACTTGTAATAATTCTGATGTCAACATCCTACCTGTCATCATTCTAAGGACTACATATTCCCACTCCAAACCACGATGAGACAAACTAGGCCATCCCTCCACTTGTATGGAATATTTACAAACTAGGCCATCCCTCCACTTGTATGGAATATTTACAAACTAGGCCATCCCTCCACTTGTATGGAATATTTACAAACTAGGCCATCCCTCCACTTGTATGGAATATTTACAAACTAGGCCATCCCTCCACTTGTATGGAATATTTACAAACTAGGCCATCCCTCCACTTGTATGGAATATTTACAAACTAGGCCATCCCTCCACTTGTATGGAATATTTACAAACTAGGCCATCCCTCCACTTGTATGGAATATTTACAAACTAGGCCATCCCTCCACTTGTATGGAATATTTACAAACTAGGCCATCCCTCCACTTGTATGGAATATTTACAAACTAGGCCATCCCTCCACTTGTATGGAATATTTACAAACTAGGCCATCCCTCCACTTGTATGGAATATTTACAAACTAGGCCATCCCTCCACTTGTATGGAATATTTACAAACTAGGCCATCCCTCCACTTGTATGGAATATTTACAAACTAGGCCATCCCTCCACTTGTATGGAATATTTACAAACTAGGCCATCCCTCCACTTGTATGGAATATTTACAGCCTCTGACACCCATTCTTTATCAATTTTCATATTCAATATTTAATATTTCCACATTTTTTTTTTAATTCAGTAAAAATTCGGGCTGCAACAATACACATACCTAAGATAAATATGTATTGCAATACAAACAATGTTTAAGATATGATATGTATCACGATACAATTATCTGCTAAAAGGTCAACTTCATAATGAATGAGTACAGGATTTTATAGAGTTTTGTCATAAACTTCAATAGTAAATACTATCAAAATATATTTTTGTATAATTTCTAGTACTTTTGGGTATGACTGCATAGGGGACCACATCTTGACGGAAGGATTAAAAAAAATATACAAGTACACTTTTTTTAGAGTTTCATAAAAATTGATTGATTATTTAAGTATTGTAAGTGTATGGCGATACAGGCAACCGAAACAAGTCCATATGATACACAAGAAAGTACCGGGATAGGAAACGATACATCGTTGCAGCTCTAGTAAAAATAGTGAGAAAGTTGATTAGACTTGTGACATGTTACCTTCCTATTTACTACCTAGTCAGGTTGTACTTTAAACCAAGCATTCCTTCTATGTACCCATTGTAAATCAGCTTTTGTCAGCCCATAAAACAGGTGCTACTGGAGATTGTCTAGGCCAGAGTGTAATTTAGCTGGGTGTAATTTACACTGATAAGACCTGGGGAAACATAATGGGAGGAGCAGACGACACCCGACATAGCTTGTCAATGTCTCTCAACCTGTGTGGCACCATTACTGCCATTCAAGTACCAATATACCTGTCTTTACATTTATTTTTCAGTCAGGATGTGTTCACAGGTAACATTTTAAGGATGCATTAAACCTGTGATCTGTGTATGAGTTATCTCCCTTAACCCTTTCACCACTGCAGACCATAATGGGCTCATCAAGATCAATGCATGGAAGAGTTTACTTAAGTTACATAGGGGTGAAAGGGTTAAGAATATATTTTGCCTTACACAATATACTGGTAATCTGTGTGAAAGTTATCTCCCTTAAGGATATATGTTACCTTACACATTATACCTGTGATTTGCGTGAGAGTTATCTCCCTTAATGATATATGTTACCTTG